AAAGGTGTCAGATTGGGGCACCTGGGTGGCTCAGTCGTTGGGCGTCTGCCTTCGGCTCAGGTCATGATCCCAGAGTCCTGGGATGGAGCCCCGCATCGGGCTCCCTGCTCGGCGGGAAGCCTGCTTCTCCCTCTCCCACTCCCCCTGCTTGTGTTCCCTCTCTTGCTGTCTCTCTCTGTCAAATAAATAAATAAAATCTTAAAAAAAAAAAAAAGTGTCAGATTGATGGGCCAGGAAGGGAAAGGAGAGAAGTTGGAGAGGAAGGAGAAAATGGTGAGAAATGGAGAAAAACTGCAGTGTTGGACAGAAACCAAAAATCATGGAAAGCCTTGCTAAGGAGCTTGGACTTCAACGCATAAGCAATGGGAACCACTGATGTTATTTTTACAAGAAATTAACAAAGTCTCATCTGTGTTTTTGATAAATAACTCTGACTCTCTAACTCATTTAATGAGCTGAATATGGAGGATTGGATTAAAGTAGGGGCCAGGCATGAGGCCTCCTCTTGCAGTAGTTCATGGCAGAGATGAGGGCTAAACCAAGAAAGTCACAGCAGATCCAGAAAAGACAAAAGATATTAAGAGACATTTAGGAAATGAGATTGGCAGAAATTAGTCTTTGCCAAGGAGAGTGAGGGAGAGGAGAGGCTCAAAAATTACTCTCAAGCTTGCAGCTGAGATTCCTAGATTGCTACACCACTGATGCAGAGGGAATTCAGGATAAAGAGCAGATGCTGAAGATAATGAGTTTAGTTTAGAACACATTGCATTTGAGATGCCTGTGGGATGTACAGGTAAGGCTAGCTTGCACAGTTGACCAAATGAAGTTTAGAGGTCCTCAATCCCTAGATAATAGCAAAAACCATGAAGATGGATGAGCTCACTCAAAGAGAACATACAGAATGACAAGTAAGGGAGACCAATGAAGAAAAAAGTTCTGGGAACCCCAGCACTTATGGGTCGGCTAAAGGAAGAGGATCCGGGGAAGGAAATGATGAAAACAATGTCAGAGAGGTTAAAGGACACCCAGAGGAGTAGGGTGCCATATAAGCCAAAAGAAAATGGAATTTTAAGAGGGAAATAGCCAGTTATGTTGAACGTAGCAGAGGGCCTTTCTGAAATTAGGACTGTAAAACACCCATTGGATTTGGCAATTAGGATATCATTGGTGATGATTAGAATAATGCTCTAATAAAGAGGTGAAGGCAGAAGGATTATGGCATGTGGAAGAGTTAATAGAAGGCAAGACCACAGAGAAAGCAAGTGTTGATGATTCCTTTGAAGGCTTAATGAGAATCTGAGGTCCTTAAGAGAGGAGTGACAAGAGAGTAGGAAGGACAAAGCAGCATGATTTGGGGAAAGTTGCTGAGAGGGGGAAAAGGAGCTAGCCAAGCACTAGGGAAGGATGGACAAGTGATATTGAAGGCATTTTTGAGACTAAAATCCAGAAAATTTTAGCGGCAACAATCCATACTTTTGTTTCCCTGTCAAAAGATGAGTTGCAGAATTAGCCGGGGTTAGATCAAGTTGCCACAGAAGAATCTCTTTGTGCAGATGGGGACACGTGGCCTCCTCTCGCTACGAGCAAGGCTGGGAATGCAAACATTTAACTTTCTGGAGTCTGTAGCAGCGTGAGCAAGGGAGAATTGGAAATATGTGTTGGTTCACCTAGTAAGCAGTGCCTGCCCCAGAGAGCAAGCTTCAGCATCCTCCTGTAGACCAGTCAGTTTAGTACAGAAAGCCACAGTTCCATTGCCATGATTAGTTAGCTAGGAGTCTCAAAGATGCCTGCTTTCATACAGTGGTTGTAAGATGAACAGGATGTTATGAATGATCTGATGTGACCCATCCCTAGTATTAGCAGAACAGCTCAAAGTGTGTATCTTAATAAAATGATCAAGTACTGGGTGCCTGGGTGGCTCAGTTGGTTAAGCGACTGCCTTCGGCTCAGGTCATGATCCTGGAGTCCCGGGATCGAGTCCCGCATCAGGCTCCCTGCTCCGCAGGGAGTCTGCTTCTCCCTCTGACCCTCCTCCCTCTCATGCTCTCTCTATCTCATTCTCTTTGTCTCAAATAAATAAATAAAATCTTTAAAAATAATAATAATAATAAAATAAAATAAAATGATCAAGTACTAATATTTTTAAAGTCCAATAGATGTGGGCTTTGCTGATACAAAGAGCAATCCCTGAGATAAACCACCACGTAGCCTCTAAAAGGATATGTGCGCAGGTGTGTGTCCAGTAACCTATCTCGACTGTATCCCAAGCCAATTCTGTCAGCATTGCTCTTTTGTAGGTTTCCATTTGACATTTAAGAGAGAGTTCATTGTTTTGTGTTGTATTTGTTTGCCATGCTCAGCATTTTTTTGCTCAGCATACTCCTTCTTGTTAAGAAAACTTTGTAAATTTCAGTGAGCCCTCAGGAATTCACAGGCTGGCTTTTCAATAGAACTCTGGGCATGAGTTTTCATGTTGCTTTACTAAAATGTTGTGTTTTTGTTGTAGATTACAGTCAAGCGAAATGTGCAATGTGCTGCTTTTCTAACCTCCTTTTACCTCACTCATCCCAAGTTTTATCTTGACTCTTTATCTTCCATTAACTCGGATTTTTTTTTTTTTTTAACTTTCTCGGTGGAATTTGTCCAGAATGTCTTTGATAGAGTTTAGGAGATTGGTATGACTTTGAACCTTAAGCCATGAGTCTGCTGTCTTCGGGGCTGATTTCTGCCCCTTATCACTGGCACATAAAGAGCTCTCAAACCACAGTGTCATTCAACAGCAGAGTCCAGGGCCTCAAAAGCCCTAACATGCTTTGAAGTATTAGAATAGTGTTACTTAGAGTTGCTTTCATCTGGCCTGCCAGACGAAAACATTACGAAGGCAGTGATCTCGCCTTGCAATCCTACAAACTAGGCAGTGTTAACCGCGGAGAGGGGGAGCCATGCCACGTATCCACTCTCCTGCTGATGGAGTTAGGGAGCCTCTTGAGTGATGCCAAGGCTGGTAGGAATTTTAAATCTACACTGTTACATTTCATTCTTTTTTTTTTTTTTAAGATTTTATTTATTTATTTGACAGAGAGAGAGAGACAGCGAGAGAGGGAACACAAGCAGGGGGAGTGGGAGAGGGAGAAGCAGGCTTCCCGCCGAGCAGGGAGCCCGATGCAGGGCTCGATCCCAGGACCCTGGGATCATGACCTGAGCCGAAGGCAATCACTTAACCAACTGAGCCACCCAGGCACCCCTGTTACATTTCATTCTTCCTTACAGATCAGTTCCCTTGGCCCGAATTTGTTTGGTTTTTGTTTAATCTTTGCCATAAATCTTAATTTATTCAAGTCTGGTTTCCCAGAGGAGAACTTGGCCTTATGAGGCTAGACTGTCTTTCTAGGCCCTTCTCTGGGCTTAGCAAAGTCCAGAAACAGATGCAGCTCTGAAAGCCTGTGGCTGTAGACTCTGCTGCAGCCACCTGTGACTCTACCCTGCAAGGTGAACCCCTCCTGAGCTAGTCAGTGATGCTTTGCCAGATCTCACGTGCCCTAAGTGCCCTTCTTCCGAAAGACTGCATTCTCTGACAGAAGAATTTCCAGGTGGAAAAGCAAAAAATACTGATAATGGAATCTCAAGATGGAATTATCTTTTAAGTACCGTGTCGCTATAATTAAGCTTAAGACTCTTAACCTGGACAAATCACATGCTAAAGAATAATAATAATTGCTTATTATTTGTATTAATATTAAGTGAGGTTGATATGATGTTATTCTATGTGTTTTACCCACATTAACCCATTTAATGCTCCCCCAAACCCCATGGGGTAGGTAGTATTATCTCCATTTTACAGTGAGAAACTGAGGCAGACATAATTTAAGCATTTAGCTCTTGGTCACATAACGAGTAAGTAGTGGAGACAGGATTCAAAGCCAGTCTTGGAAATTCTAGAGTACTAAAAGAATTTGAAATTGCCAAATTAATTGTTGGTGATCTTTGAGAAATTGTGGGGAACTGGATATGCAACAGAAGTCTAGATATAAATATAGTTCACATTTTTGCTATTCAGTATTTTCCTGAAGAAAATGTCCAAGTGCCTTAAATATTTTATCAGTTACTTGATAGAGATACAGAAGGTAGCTCTATCAGATTTTCCAAAAAGACCTTTGGGGGCTTTTAGCTGACTGTAAGCTCTGTGTGAGTTAAAGTAGAATACAGCACACTCTTCTAACCCCTCTTCCCCCTCCAAGAAGATCTCAGGCTTATGTGCAAGCAGCATAGCATCTAGAACAAGGGAGCTGATCATTCTCTCTAGACAGCACAGACCTACTCTGTAGTATTTATTATGTTTGGCCCTGAGTGCCACATTTCAAGGGAGACAGAGAACAATTGGAATGGTTTTGTTGGCAAATTATGAGAATTGTAAAATAATTCACTCTGATTATATGAATAGCTGAAAAACTGGGGTTAGTTAGCTTGGAAAAGGGAAGACTTCAAGGAAGCCAAAAGACGTGGTATCTTCAATACTTGAAGTGCTAACACATATGGGAATGATTGCCAAGCTGCTGGAATCAGAGACAGTGATTAGAAATTAATGGCAACAGGTATCAGTAGATATAGATGATCACATCTTTCAGAGATGGAATAGGCTGCCTTAAGAGGTATTGAGTTTTCTTTCACAAACATTCATGTGAGTATGCAAGCAGAAGCACAGCAACCACTGGAAGATGTACAAGAGACGCAAGTATAGACCGACCACATGGTCGGGCCGGATTCCTGTTATGGTCGCTTCCAACGCTGACGTTCTGTTCTATCAATCTGTGAATTGGTTGAAGACAATCAGTGTTGAATCAAGTACAGAAATAGTCTACCATGTCTTGGACATCTAATGTTGCCCACACCAGCATTAGCCAAATTGGTAAAAACGTGATGAGCAACAAAGTAAGATGTCATTTCAAACAAACCTGTAGGCATCTAGTTCAGTGACTGGTGTTTTCTTCTTCTCCTTTCAGTGCTGTCTCCTGCTCAAGAGAGCCATGTGACCATGGATCTGCCCCCAGTGTCGGAGCAGATCATGCAGACGTTGAGTGAACTTGCCAAATCTTTCCAGGATATGGCTGACCGCTGCTTGCTTGTCCTGCATCTGGAAGTCAGGTATGACACAGCCAAGCCCAAGACTGCAATTGAAAGGCACAGTGGGTCATCTATCACTTGCTTCTTTCTGAAGACTATCCCCGTAACTTTTGATTCCTATTATTGATGTCCTTTTTTTTTTTTTACATTGAACGTGATTTTTAGTGTTAATCACTGTAAAAGTTTTTAAGCACGTGCTATATCGTAAATATGGTGATTCACAGTTTGCACGGCCTGTGACATCAGAATAATCTGGATTTGAAGGTCTCTACCAGCTAGCTAGGCCATCTTAAGTCAGGTAATCTACCTTTACTAATCCTGTTTTCTCATTGTAAAAATAAAACAATAATTCCTAACTTACAGAGTTTGTAAATGATATAATAAATAATTAGTACAGTGCATGCCACAAAATAAATGCTCAAAATGTGGTAGCTTTGTGATTATGGTGACTTTATGGTCACTGACGTTTTTACGAACGTACTCTGCTAATCAGTAAGGGAGTACACAGATGCAAGAGCCATGACCCCTTCCTTCAAGAACTTAAGACCCAAGAAGAGATTACGTTAAATCATAATTCAGGACAAGAGTTGCAAAGATGCCATATTCTTGGACTCTTGTTACTTCCCCTGAAGTGTAGAACATTCTTAGCTTTGGTGGCCTCTCTTATCACACCTATGGAAATGGTAGAAAGAAAAGACTGGGAAGTTTTCAATCATTTGTTCGTTCAATAAACATTTACTGAGTGCCCTCTTTGTGCTAGGCAGTGTGCTAGGAATTGGGATACAGCAATGAAAAAATCACTCAAGGGCCCTGCTTTCGTGGAGCTACATTCTCATGGGGGGAAACAGCCAATGAATGAACAAAAAAAATAATTTCACATAAGTACAACTAACAAAATAAAATAACATAATGAAATGAAGCAGTGCTGTCCAGTAGAATTATAAAGTGAGCTATATATTCAAACCATATAGATAATTGAAATTTTCTAATAGTCACATTTGAAAAAGTAGAAGGGAACACATAAATTATGATATATTTTATCTCACCCAGTAACTCCAAAATACTATCATTTCAGCATGTAACTAATGTAAAAAGTACTGATGAGCTATTTTGCATTTTTGGGGGTACTAAGCCTTTCAAATCTGCATATTTTACACTTACAGCACATTGAAATTCAGACTGGTCCCATCTCCAGTGCTCAATAGCCACACGTGGCTAGTGCTATCATTCTGGACATGGCAGAGAGTAGCTGGGGTTGACTACAAAGGGGTATTGGCTTTTTTGTTTTTTAGATAGTGTGGTCAAAGAAAATGTGACATGGTAACAAGAAGGAACCATGTGTACGAAGACCTAGAAGAGAATTTCAGACAGAGAGGGCAACACACCAAGGTCCCGAGACAATCAAGCTTGGCAGTGTTGAGGAATGGAGGAGAGTCAGGGTGACTGGAGCACTGTGAACAAGGAGGTGAGGAGGAGTGCCAGGATACGGAAAGAGGCAGGCTGGGGCCTGACCATGTGTGGTCGCGAAGCCTGGCACGTTATCGTGACCCGCAGACCAAGCGACTAGTTCAGATTTCATTCTAAGGGCATTGAGAAGACATAGAAAGGTTTTAAGCAAGGGAGAGAGCTTCATCCATCCATTCACTCACTCATTCATATTCATTTTCATTTTTTTTTAAGATTTTATTTATTTGACAGAGAGAGCACATGCAGGGGGAGAGGAAGATGCAGACTCCCAGCTTAGCTGCCCAATGCAGGGCTCAATCCCAGAACCCTGGGATCTTGACCGTAGTCTAAGGCAGACACTTAACTGACTGAGCCACCCAGGCGCCCCTCATTTTCATTTTTAAAAGAGCACTTTAGGGCACCTGAGTGGCTCAGGTGGTTGGGCGTCTGCCTTCGGCTCAGGTCATGATCTCAGGGTCCTGGGATCGAGTCCCGCATCGGGCTCCCTGCTCCTTGGGAGCCTGCTTCTCCCTCTGCCTCTCTCTCTCTGTCTCTCTCTCTGTCTCTCATGAATAAATAAATAAAATTAATTAATTAAATTAAATTAAAAAAGAGCGCTTTAGCTGTTGTTTGGAAAAGGAATGGTAAGAAGGCATGTGAATGGAAGCCTAGTGACCGTTGAGACCAGTTATGAGCACCAGAGTGGCAGAGGTGGACATGTGAGAAGAGTTGGTTTGAGATATATTCCAAAAGTAGAGCTGATGAAATGTGTTGATCAATAGTATTGGGCACAGGGGCTGGAGGCCGCAAAAGAAAGCACTCAAGGAAAACCACGAGCTTTGGAACCAGGGTAACTCTGTGGTGCTGGGGCCCTTAACTGAGGTGAGAAAGTCTATGTAAGGAGAAGGGGTGGGGGAGGGGTGGAAATCAAGACTTCCATCTTGGAGACGGTTAGTTTGAGATGCTTACTAGACCTCTAGGTAGCAAGGTCAAACAGACAGCTGGTGGATATAGACTTTTAGAACTTTAGGATCAGAAAATTCAAGATCAGAAAGTGTATAGGAATACATCTTCTATATTGCCATGGGACATTAAAGTTCAGAGAGCATTTTGTTTTTTCTTTTGGAGTCTTTACTAGATTGAGGTTTTAAAAATGTAAATAGGGTTTTGGTTCATGTCTGGGCTCCAGTTAGAACTTGGAAATCTTTCAGGTGTGCTCAGGCAAAGCATCATTGATCATGTATTGTGGATGTCATTTCTTGTGTATGCCCCGTGCTCTTTTCATTCTTCATTATCTTGTCCTACAAGTTACTTCTTAATTGCTTGTGAGCGGCTTGTGAGTAGAGTAAGAGAAGAAGCATTGCAGGTTTGAAGTGTTTTACTCAGCCTCATTTCTGATCATATTTCTTACATGCAGCTGTCCAGAAAGGAAGGCTCTTCCTCTATGTTTCCTGATTTGTTTTACGATAATTTTTAGATTTGTTTTCTGTTTACGTACAAGCTGACAGTGAAATAAATCAGGTGATTTCTATGAATAGATAAATGCAATAGACAGAAACAAAAACAAAAATCACCAACATTCTGATGCCTCTGTTACCCGGGTTGCACAGAAAAGCAAGGGAACATCAAATTAATTACTGTCACAGCTCCTGGAATTTATGCTATTGATTGTGTTGGGAACACAAAGTGTTCCACATTCAGAACTAGTCGCTTGTAGTGTTGTTAATTCCCAGTGGGAGATTTTAGGCACTTTTGAGTAAGTCTTTTAAATCCTTAACCTCTATTCTGCCCTTTTTATTTTTGTATGTCATGACGGTACTATTCTTAATGCTGAACATACTTTAGTCATTATTTATTAACTTTACAAGAAACCATTCATTGCGATAACACCCATTGCTGTATCTCCTTCAGCAATCGTTTAAACACAGAAAAAGATCGTTGTAAGAATGAATAACAAAAAGCACTGAGTTTTAGAGTCCTGGATGCAGAATTTTCTTCCCTTGACTTTTGCTAAAAGCACTAAACATGTTTATTGTTTCTAAATTAAATTCCCCCACCTTCTCATATCACATGGTTTCAACATTCAGGTTGCTTTCTTATGAATATGCTCCATACTGTCTTTGTTCCTTTTAAAGTACGGTAGATAAAACTAGGCAGAGAGCTCCATGGATGGCTCAGGAAATGAATATTGACATACTTCATTCATTCCTTGTCACAGTAACAAGCACTTGTGTGTGTGTATGTGTGTGTGTGTTCATACAGTTGATAATACAAAATGAACAAAGCACATCACTAGCATATCAGTAACACTGTACTATAGTAATGCCAAAGTAAAGAGAGTGCTGAGCACGCCCCGTATCCACAGTGGGTGACGATGGGGGAGACCATTGGCTCCTAGGAGGCAGGAATCAAGGGTGCCTTGTTTATTACTCGGCCCCGGAACCTGGAACAGTCCTGCTCAGTAATAGGTGCTCAATAAAAACCTGAATGCTTCTTGAGAGTTATCTGGTTTGAAATCAAACCCAGACAAAATAAGTGCTGTTTGTCCAAACAAAACCTGTTGCTCTTAAAGGAAATGAGTTGGTTTGGAGACTCTGTTTTCACACAGCGGTCCGCTCCATGTATCTAGGAAGTACGGAGGCTGCACAACCAGCGTCATCCTTGTCACCAGAATCTCCTAGTGTTTGTTTTGTTCCCATCCTGCCATAAAAGAGAATTAGGACTTAGGCCTTGTCATTCAGGAGCTGGTGCAATGAAGAAGTGGCCGGTTAGGTACTGTCTCTGGTACTTTTACCCCAGAAGCCGCTGGAATAAGATAGCACAGATAGACTAGACAAAGAAATTAATGGGGAAAAAATAGTGGGAAATGCTAGCAAGAAGTCCAGAACAACTTCAAATGCCAAAAATTTATCTTATTCATCAAAATACCGTCATGTCTGTAGCCCATATTTTTCTGTAACATTGTTAAAGTTCAAACCAGGAAGTGTTCTCAAATCCAGTAGGTTCTAGGTTGAAGGACCCATCCAAAGAGCATTTGACATTTTACCCATGTCACTGTAGGCCACATTTAACCAACAAGCAGCCTCTTCCCACAGTTTGAAGCATAAGGCAAATGACACTCCCAAGAGATGAAAGACATGGTGAGACCATCAAAAATTGTTGAGGGTTGGTTTTGTTTTGTTTTTTCCTATTTGAACTTTAGAAGAAGAAAATGAAGTTGCCATTTGAGTCCCAAGATGCCAGGAATGTCACCTTTATCAGCTGATTTCTCTCACCATCAGGAGGGCTCTAAGTGGGTTCCACGGCAATCACCTGTCACCGTTGGGTTCCGAAGTGTGTACTTTCTGAAAATCACCCATCCTGCTGTGTAATCAGCAATATTTGCAGAAACCCTTAATGCCAAAGTCATGTTAAGGTCAGCAACAACATGCCAGAATCCGAAGAAAAGAAAACACTTTTTGAATTTGACATTTGCCAGTGACTACTTTAATTTCTTTTTCCTCTCTAAACATTTTGGGAGAGGGAGACAGTACCTTGAAGTAGTCTTACTTCTCTTCCATGCCACTCACTTCAGGATCTTATACACACTCACCTCCAATTCCTGAGACTGTCCCAAGTAGTCTCTCTACTTTCAGTTGCTTCCGTTCTTCGCCGTCAGTCCATCCTTTATACTCTGCTAGAATGATCTTGCCAAAGCTCCTATCTGATTATATCATTTTCACCTCTTAAAATCCTCCTAAGGCCCCCTGTGGCTTCTCAAAGTCCAGAGTCGTAGTTGGCCTCCAAAGCTGATGACGACCTGCCTCCTGCCCATCTCCCCGAGCTCACCTCATGCCTGTCTTCACATGTGATCTGTGTGTACCAAAAGGAACCACTTGTCATTCCTGAAAACCAGCCTTCATTCACACCCTCATGCCTTTGTACATGGTCTTCCCCTTGTCTGGAGTGATGTCATCTGTAATTTACTATAAAAATACTTTAGCATTGATGGCTTGATTTTCTTTTCAGCTAAGAGCTGCTCAGTTTAAATTTCAACCACAGTCGCAATCAGTTTCCCTAGTCGTGAATCCCACTCCAGGATTGGTCAGCTTTCATGATTATCAGCAAGGTCACATTCCAGAGGGGGCTGCAACCAGTGCAGTTACTGGTGTCTTGATTAACAGTATACACCTTGCCAGTTAGCACAGGAATGCCAGTATGAATTTTTATTGGCGAAATTAGTCATTAATTGATGCAGCTATTAGATGATCACCCATAATGAAAATGAGCTGGTTGTCAAGATTTTCAGATTCCCCTGCATAAGCAGGTTGTAAGAATATAACACCTATACAAAACTTAGCTCAAAATGGATCAGGGCGCCTGGGTGTCTCAGTCAGTTAAGCATCTGCCTTCAGGTCATGATCTCAGGGTCCTGGATCGAGCCCCGTCGGGCTCCCTGCTCAGCCAGGAGTCTGCTTCTCCCTCTCCCTCTGCCCCTCCCCACCACCCACTTGTGTGCGCACTCTCTCTCTCAAATAAATAAATAAAATCTTAAAAAAAAAAAAAGATTTAAAAAAATTGAATCATTGATCTAAATATAAAACCTAAAACTATAAAACTTCCAGGAGAAAACTTAGGAAAAAAATCTTTGTGACATTGTTTAGGCCAGGATTTCTTACATATGACTCCAAAAACACCATCCATAAAAGAAAAAATATGATAAATTGAAGTTCATCAAAATTAAAAACCATTCTTCAAAAGACATCACTAAGATGAAAAGACAAGCCAAAAAGTGGGAGAAAATATTTGCAAAATGCACATCTAATAAAGGACTTGTATCCAGAACATATAAAGAACTCTCAAAACTTAAGAAAACAACCCAATAAAAATATTGGGCAAGGGGCGCCTGGGTGGCTCAGTCGTTAAGCGTCTGCCTTTGGCTCAGGTCATGATCCCAGGGTCCTGGGATCGAGCCCCACATTGGGCTCCCTGCTCAGCGGAAAGCCTGCTTCTCCCTCTCCCACTCCCCTTGCTTGTGTTCCCTCTCTCGCTGTGTCTCTCTCTGTCAAATAAATAAATAAAATCTTTTTAAAAATATATATATAGGGCAAGAATTGTGAACACAAAGGTATATGGATGGCAAATAAGCACATGAAAATATGCCCACCGTCATTAATAATTTGATGAGATAATTAATGAATTAATAATTCTCATTATTAGGAAAATGAGAATTAAAACCACAATGGGATACCACTATACATCTGTTAGAATGACTAAAAATAATTTTTTTAAACTAACAAACGCTTGAAGACTTTATGCTAAGTGAAGTAAGTCTGACAAAGACAAATACTGCGTGATATCACTTATATGCAGAATCTAAAAACAAAAAAAGTCAAAATCATAGAAACACAGAATAGAAAAGTAGTGGCTGGGGGTTGGGAGAAACAGAGGTCGGTAAAGGTACAAACTTTCAGCTATAAGATTTGAATAAGGCCTCGGAATCTAATATAAAACATGATGACTTTGGTTGATAACACTATATCATATAATCGAAATTTGCTAAGATGCTAAAAGAGTAGAACTTAAATGTTCTCATTTTTAAAAAAAAAAAAAAGGATAAATATGTGACAGACGTGTTAAGTAACTAGATTGGGGGAATCCTTCCACACGATATATGTATATCAAATCAAATCATGATGTGTGCTTAAAATGTCTTACAATTTGGGGACGCCTGGGTGACTCAGTCGGTTAAGTGTCCTACTCTTGATTTCAGCTCAGGTCATGATCTCAGGGTCATGAGATCAAGCCCCACATCGCGCTCCATGTTCAGCTTGGAGTCTGCTTGTACCTCTCCTTCCCCCTCTGCTCCTCCCCTTGAGCTCTCTCTCTTTAAAAATGAATAAATAAAACCTTTTAAAAAAACTGACAGCAGTAAGTGCTGGTGAGGCTGCAGAGCAACCAGAACTCTCGTATGTTGTGGATAGGAAAGCAAAATGGCGTAGCTCCTTTGGAAAACTGTTTGACAGTTTCTTATAAAATTAAAATATACTTACTATATGACCCAGCAATTCCACTTTTACCCATGACAAATGAAAATTTATATTTACACAAAAACCTGTACATGACGCAGCTTTATTTATAATCACCCAAAACTAGAAACAACCCAGATGTCAACTGGTGAATGGTTAAATTGTAGTATCTCCATACGGCAGGAATCTGCTGATCAGTAACAAGGAACAAACACAACATGAGTAAATCACAAATGCCCTAAGCAGAGTGAAAGAAGCCAAACTCCAAAAGCTACATAATATGATTCCATTTATATGGCACTCGGACAAGACAAAAGTGTAGGAAGCATATATAAATCAGTGGTTGCCAGATCCTTAGGGTATGGGTAGAGGTTGACTGCAAAGAGGCTCAAGGGAATTCTGGGGGTGATGATATTATTCTATAATTTGATTATAGTGGTGATTATACACTGTGTGGATTTGTCAAAGCTCATAGAACTATACACTGAAAAGGGTGAATTTTACTATTTATAAATTATTTCTCAATAAAACTTACTTAAAAAAAGAAAGATGATAGTCAAGCGTGAAGATACATCATCAGGGATAATGCCCAAGACTTTTGCAGCCTTTTGTTTAGGAATATTTCCTATTGCCTGGTGCAGACTGTAAGGGTAACAGAGTTTTGACTCTGAATGTCTTCCTGTCTACCTCTAGTGAACCTTCCATGACATGATCAGACAGAGCACCTAAAACAATAAGACTTCACTGGGTTTATAGTACAGCCTATTTGAGCTATGTCTGCCAATGGATGGAGGATTTTGTTTTTGTTCTTGTTTTTTAAAAATGCCTGTACGGGGCGCCTGGGTGGCTCAGTTGGTTAAAAATGCCTGTACGTGTGGTAGAATTATTTGGACTGAAACTTGCTTTTGTTACAGCTTAACACCAAGGTTATGGAGTAGCCAATCCTTACCCATCTCAGGCTTCTTTGGCAGTTACCAATAACTACCAAAAAGAACTTAAAAAGTGTGCATGGTCAGAATGACTGAGATCATGTCAACACAGGAACGCCCTCCTTCCTCAAGCTCATTCAAATCATCTTCTTTACTTAAGTGTCACCCTATGTTGTGACACCCCATGGCAGACTTCCATGGTCCTCTGGTACATGTGCTTCTGAGTGAGACGCTGCCTTCTTTTGGTCTTTTTTTTTTTTTTTTTTTTGGCCTGCCCCACTAAGCGGTGTGGAGTCCTTCAGGGCACAAATCATGTCTCACATTCCTAAGGACCAGCACAATTTTATTTTTAAATAAATAAGTAAATTGATTTTAGTGTTTTACTTAAGTAACAGATTAATTACAGTAATAGTGATGATAGCCAACACTTGCTGGGCACTTGCTCTGTGCCAGGCCTGTGCCAGGTGCTTGACGTTCAGTAGCTCCTCAGAGCACCTTATGAGTAAGTGTTGTTGCCATCCCAGGTGCACAGGTAAGGAAACTGAGACACAGAGAAAGTAACCCGCCTAAAGCCACGCAGCCAGCAGTTGTTGGAATTGGGAACTGAAACCAAAAGAGTCTCATTCCAGAGCCAGCTCTTTCGAGCTCTGTGACCTACGCCTCTCATTTTTGCTACAACAGTATCTGTTGAAAGATAAAATGCTTTTCACACTAGGCATGTAATCCGGTCTTTGAAAGGAATTTTAGAGCTCATTTATTCCTTACCCCCGATGTTTGGATGAAGCAAGCGAGGCTCACAGAAGCTGACTTGCTCCAGATCCCTCTTCTTCGTTAGATGGCTTTCCAGTGAACAAGCGGAAGAGGACGTAAATATCTATGGGGCCACTGCTGCTTTAAATATTTGGGTGGTCTGTCCCAAAAAGATTATTGTTTTCATCAAGAAAATGTATTACTAACTGCTCTGTGCATCTTTGCCTTTGTCAGGGTTCACTGTTTCCACTATCTCATCCCCCTTGCAAAGGAGGGGAACTATGCCATTGTGGCTAATGTGGAAAGTATGGATTATGACCCTCTGGTGGTCAAGCTCAACAAAGACATCAGCGCCATTGAAGAGGCCATGAGTGCCAGCCTTCAGCCGCACAAGTTCCAATACATATTTGAAGGTCAGATCCTGTCTGTGTCCCTAGGATTTGGGGAGGAAGGAAGAGTGAAGGGTTTTTTGTTGTTTTTTTTTTATTCTCTACTATTGAAGTTCACAACTTGTAGTTGTTTGGGTTTTGTTTTGGTTTGGCTTTTTCTTTTTGGACTAAAGCTGCAATACCTAGTCTCTCTGCGTATGGCTAGGTAGACAACAATATGGCTGCCATCTGCTCCTGGTTGATAAGATTTAATCCAAAATAAGGCAGATGGCAGCCTGGCTGCCTCCCTGACATGCCACTCATGAGAGTTGGGTAAATATGTAGAGTGGACCATGAGTTAGCTCAAGAGAAGCTCATAAAAGAAAAAGAAGCACACATACAATGAGAAGAGGACTCCAAAAAGAGATCTCTCGATGACTAAAATTATCAGTGGAAAGGGAAGTTTTCTCTCAAAGAATGCACTATTGTCTGAAAAGAACAGAAACCTCTGATCAGCAGAGACTTTAGGAAGGCTGCATCCATAAATGCCTTGGGGCAGGCAGGCAAGGAAGGGCACGAAAGACCGTTCCATCTAAAGGCATTCACCTTCAAGATTTTGAGATATGTGATGCCAGGCAAATAATTTTTCATGCTGAATTCCTCCCATGGGGGGGACTTTTAGGACTTCAAACTATATTCCCTTCTTTCTCGTTTTGGTTTATTTGTATGTAGGCCTGAGTCCCAGGCCTGACATTTTAGTCATCGAGAGATCTCTTTTTGGAGTCCTCTTCTGTGGTGTCTGTCAGAATTAAAGTGATGATATTAAAAACAATTAAGAAAGTGCATTGTGCAAAGGATTGTAGAACCTGGAGATAGGAAAGAAAGGCTTGGCTATTGCTTGCTTTATTAAACAGTTATGTCCCCGCAAATTTGGACCAAAAAACTGAAAATCCTATTTTCCCATTAAATTATGTCATAAAGATGGAGATATGTTCGGAAAGGAACTATCCCCAAAAGACTTTAGCCGAAAAGTATTAGTGATTAAAAGGTTAACTGTTCTCTCCATGGCACTGAGAATTTAGGGGCCATGTGTGTCAACATTCACAGTTCCCAGACTTTCCCTATCATTTACCCAGACATTTCTTAACATCTAATCCTGATGAGTAGCAACATCTTCTTGAAATACGGGTATAACACTCTGATGTAGAAAAGAAATGAAGAAATCATGAATTGGAGACCTTCTGTTTAAAAAAACTCTAGCTAGGGCGCCTGGGTGGCTCAGTTGGTTAAGCAACTGCCTTCAGCTTAGGTCATGATTCTGGAGTCCCAGGATTGAGTCCCGCATTGGGCTCCCTGCTCAGCGGGGAGTCTGCTTCTCCCTCTGACCCTCCCCCCTCTCATGCTCTCTCTCATTCTCTCTCTCACAAATAAATAAATAAAATCTTTAAAAAATAAAAATAAAAAAATAAAAAGTTCTAGCTATTTCTCTGTGATACCACTCTCAAAATTCACAAAGCATAATACTGAATTTCCCAAAGGGTGGGGAATGGGGATTACAGGGTCTCAGTCTTTGGTGTGGCAGAAAAGAGCATTTTATCACAGATATTATTTGAAATTGCCAGTGTATAGTAGTAATATAAAGCAGACTTCTACTGGGTTTTATTTTTAATTATTATTACAATCTATTATGTGTACTTATTATATAAATTTACTTTTTTTTTTTTCAAGTGGGCTCCATGCCCAGCATGGAGCCCAGCACGGGGCTTGAACTCCCAACCCTGAGATCAAGACCTGAGCTGAGATCAAGAGTAGAAAGCTTAACTGACTGAGCCACCCAGGCACCCCTAAATTTACTTATTTAATATATTTATTATTATTCACTATTCTCTACAAACACCCCCCTCATTACCTCCACGTAGGCAGATTGCCTTTTACCATGGTAGAACAAAATTATATCCAGAGTTATGAGCTCAGTAAAATCACACTCAGACTTGACCTAGAGAGATTTTTCACATCAGTCAGTGGCTTTAAATGTAAAATCCATATGTGTGTTTCTTTTTCTTTGAGTAGAAAGCCTCTTACTTCCCTTTTAAGTAGTTGCACGTACAAGTGAGTTTGTGGTCTAGAAGCAACACTACACGAGTGTAGCTGAGGCAAGAGAGAATGCTCCTCCTCTCCCTTTTCTACCTTCATCCTAGTCAAGGGAAACTCATTTTGCAGACCGGGGAAGTCATGGAACCTGAAGCTCCCCCCGAACCTTCACCACGGAGGCACTATGACTTCAGAAGAGGGAAATCATGAAGGCAGTAAGCTGCTTGTGACTAGCCAGACTAGCTTTAGAGTTCCAGGGGAAGCTTTGAAGAATGGTAACCCACATGCATCAATTTCTTACTGACATATTTTTGCTTGTTAGGTTCCAAATCAATGTTTGAGCCAAAAAGACACCCCTGTCTTTTTTTGTGGGAGGAAGAGGAAACCAAACAGATCATTGTATTTGCATGTGTTGTTCTATGCTTCCAGAACCTCTTTACAGGAAAAAAAGAGTTCCAATGCTCTTCAATAGTTTATAACAACCTGGCATATTTTCTAAGCCCTTGACATGGTGGCTTGAGGTATATATATATGGCAGTGCTGGAGCAATGGATATGTTGCATAAAGCCTCTCCATTTGTAGCTTTTAGGACAATGTATAAATATTCCAAAACTGTTGTAAGATCAGCGGGTGCAGCAACCCTCAGAGATATGTTTTCTTTGGTCATTAAATTTTGTGGAGGATTTGAAGAAAGAAATCCTTCCAAATTCATGTGTAAGTTCAAGCAAGGTGACACTAATCTGTCTTCTCTTCCCCCCTGCTCCCCCCCCCGCCACTGCTCTGTGCTGGCCCCTCAGGCCTGGGTCACCTGATCTCCTGCATCCTCATTAATGGTGCCCAGTACTTCAGGCGCATCAGTGAGTCTGGCATCAAGAAGATGTGTAGGAACATCTTTGTCCTGCAGCAGAATTTGACCAACATCACCATGTCGCGGGAGGCAGACCTGGACTTCGCAAGGTAGGAGGAAGGACCGGCTTGGTCCCTTGTACCAAAGTCAAGATCCCATTGCCTATCAAAATCACTTAGAAAAATGGATTCTTGGTACTTAAAAAGTTAATTTAAGAAAAAATGAAACAATTGGATTTTCATCAGTCTTAGGGAAGGTAATTCTCTACGATTCTATTGGCTGTTTAACCTCCCTTATGCAGGGAGTTTTCCTGTTCTCTAACCTAAGTTCTTCTTACGACAAAACTTCAGTAACTTTCCTATTCTAGAAGTAATATTTGCTCATTGCATAAGATATGTCACATAAAATACAAAAAAAAAAATCAATAAACATGACTCATAAGCCTTTCATCTGGAGACTATGACATTTGGTGTAATTTCTCTTGGCCTTGTGCCTCCGCCATGGATACAAGTGAATTTTCATATTCATGCATGTAACTTGTCTTTGTACAAAATTGGAACTACGTTAATGTAATTTTATATTTGTTTAATTGCATTTTCCCGTATCAGCAACATTCTTTGAAAACCTTATTTTTCCCAAAGCCACTAATAGTTCTTGAAAGGACAGTTGATCCTTGAATGACATGGGTTTGAACAGTGCAGGTCCACTTACATGCAGATTTTTTTCGTACATTACTATTAATGTATTTTCTCTTCCTTATTTTCTTAATGTTTTCTTTTCTCTAGCTTACTTTCTTATTAGAATACAGTATATAATACATATACAAAACGTGTTCATCAACTGTTGATGTTATTAGTACAGCATCTGGTCAACAACAGGCTATTCAGAGTGAAGTTTTGGGGGAGTCAGAAGTTATACATGGATTTGTGATTGTGTGGGAGGTTGATACCCCTACCTTCCCACATTGTTCAAGGGTCCACTTATCACTTTTAATACCTGAACAAATATTCCATGGTATAAGTTAGACATTATTTAATCATTTGCAAATTTGTAAAATTAGGATTTTTTTCCCTTTCTTTCTCTCATAAGTAACATATGTTGAATGTATGTTTTCATGAATCTTTTCCTCATCTCTTCTCTCTTTACCAGTTGAAATCCTTCTTCTCTTCTTGTTTTCATTGTGGGGACAGTCGTTACTCATCATCAGCCATGCTCACCCTTCATGTCCTTAAAGGCTCTTCTTTTAAAGACCACTCTTTCTCTTTCCTAGTTTGCTGATCTCAATTTTTAATGTTTCTTTATAATGCACTTTTTCAAGTTTGAAGGGTTGTTTTATTCTCTCTTCATGTGGTCTCAACACTGTATACTTTACTTAAATCATCAGACCTTTGGTACTTCAATGAAAGCTAAAACAGTTTTGAAGAGGATAGGCGATGATTATGGTATCTTGGTATTTTATTGCTGTTTGTACCTTGGTGAATTAGTTCATAAACTCCTTTTTTTTTAAAAAGATTTTATTTATTTATTTGAGAGAGAGAATGAGAGAGAGAGCACATGAGAAGGAGGAAGGTCAGAGGGAGAAGCAGACCCCCTGCTGAGCAGGGAGCCCGATGCGGGACTCGATCCAGGGACTCCAGGATCATGACCTGAGCCGAAGGCAGTCGCTTAACCAACTGAGCCACCCAGGCGCCCCATAAACTCCTTTATGGCTAGGAAGTCTTTTTTTTTTTTTTTTTAAGATTTTATTTATTTATTTAATTGACAGAGAGAGCGTGAGAGAGAACACAAGCAAGGGGAGTGGGAGAGGGAGAAGCAGGCTTCCAGCCGAGCAGGGAGCCCGATGTGGGGCTCGATCCCAGGACCCTGGGATCATGACCTGAGCCGAAGGCAGTCGCTTAACCAACTGAGCCACCCAGGCGCCCCGGAAGTAATTTGTTTTTAATCCCCCAGAATTCTCCTGCCTAACATTTGTACTTCTGTGTCATTTCATTTGATTTTTGGATTCCTCAAGAAGTTCCAGAAAAATTTGAAACAATTTTTAAGACTTTTCAGGAAATGATGAAATATTACATTACGTTGACAGTTATCAAGACATATATGCTAGGATCTTTGTTTTGATAGCATATAACCATATATCTTCATTTTTAACTTTTCTTCTCCAATCTACCCCTTCATTTGTTGTTCCATTGCTACCCTGTTCCTCTGCTTCTCTGTCCTCCTTCCCGTCTTATTCTTCCTTTGTGCATGTGTGTGTGTGTTGCGTGTTCATTAAATTCCCTGTTTTAGGCTAAATTTGGTAGAAAGCCTTCTTTGCTCAGATTAGGGAAACCAGGTGTGACTGAATGCTGCATTTATTTGGTCGCTCTTATGGGGAATGATCTCATTATTGAATTAGTCTATTCATAATAGCATTGACAAGGGGAAGTTAGGAACAGGGAGGCCTGAGGGATACAGAAAAGCATTACTAATTCTCTGAGGAATATAATTCTTAAATTCAATCATCTTTTTTTAAATGATTTTTTTTATTTAGCTGAAATAAGTAAATTAACAGGTTTTGGCAGACAGTATGGGGCCCGAACACGTACTAAAGAAACTAGCAACTGAATAATGAAATGTTGACTGGGCGGTATTGAGGTTGGCATCAGTGGGCTGTGTGCCAACAGTGTTTCTTCAGGAAGTAATTGAATGGCAACTGAGCCGTGCCTTTTATAGTTGGATTTGTGAATGATGTCCAAGGCAGTGGGTGTGGACTGAAATGTGACCACTTGGGAGAGGTACTGCTACTATTGCTCTTTACTCTTTTTTTTTTTTTTTTTAATTTTATTTATTTATTTGAGAGAGAGAATGAGAGACAGAGAGCATGAGAGGGAGGAGGGTCAGAGGGAGAAGCAGACTCCCCGCCGAGCAGGGAGCCCGATGCGGGACTCGATCCCGGGACTCCAGGATCATGACCTGAGCCGAAGGCAGTCGCTTAACCAACTGAGCCACCCAGGCGCCCCGCTCTTTACTCTTAATGGATTATGAAAGGAAATAGGCAGCATAAATATGTAGCATTAGATGATTCTGTCCTTCCGATCTTGGTTCAGAAGACCTCTCCTTTTTTTTTTTTTTTTTAAGATTTATTTATAGGGGCGCCTGGGTGGCTCAGTCGTTAAGCGTCTGCCTTCGGCTCAGGTCATGATCCCAGGGTCCTGGGATCGAGCCCCGCATCGGGCTCCCTGCTCCGCGGGAAGCCTGCTTCTCCCTCTCCCACTCCCCCTGCTTGTGTTCCCTCTCTCGCTGTGTCTTTCTCTGTCAAATAAATAAATAAAATCTTTAAAAAAAAAAAAAAGATTTATTTATATATTTTAGAGAGAGAGAGATCGTGTGGCAGGGAGGGACAGAAGGAGAGGGAGAGAGAATCCCAAGCAGACTCCCTGACTGAGCGGGGAGCCCGACATGGGGCTCAATCTCACAACCCTGAGATCATGACCTGAGCCGAAACCAAGAGTCAGCCGCCTAACCGACTGAGCTACCCAGGCACTCCTCAGAAGACCTTTCCTTATTAGACTTCTGTGTCCCAAGAGACCGAGATGCTTTCTGTTTTCTCAGTGCTGGACCAGAGTAAGTGCTCATCATGTGTCTTGAATGAATGGATAGGTATCCATCAAGGCTTCTTTTGGTGTTGATGAAGGGCTTAGATAATGACAAAGTTTCTGTCTTTAATACCCTGAAAGTTTTAACTAGCTGACATGGGTCAGTGTTCTTACAGGCTTACAAGGAACAGTATCTCCCTAGAGCAGAAAGCATTTTATAAAAGGAACCATATATCCCTACTATTCATTGTCTCTTTCTCCCTCATTTGCTCTTGCTCTCATACGTACAACATACATAGACACACTTTATAGCCTTATTTTTTTCTGTTTCTGTGTTTGGTAGGGACAGGTTTCATGAAATGGGCTCCATCAATTCCACTGAATTTGAAGCTATGTAAAATAAATATAACAGCAATACCAAAATAGCCAGAAATAATAGACTGCAGCAGTGTGCCTCAGCGTTCCTTAAGCAGTGTCTAATCAAGCATGGGCAGCATCTGTATTTCCAGCAAATCTCTATAGGAATGTTATCTTCTAATGCAGTAATTAATCACTAGTTGCTATGTGTCAGAAAACTTACTTAACAAGAAGTTGCAAGGCTCTTGTAGTTTTTCACCTCCATAGGCTCCCTGGCCAGTGGAAAATATAACACCCTTTCTGTAATAAAGAGGAACCTGGAGTGATTCAATTTATGTTGATTCTTCTACTTGCAGCATTGCTGTCGATCTCTTTTTCTACACACCTTTACTCTCATCTCCAGTAGGAGGATAAATCTCAGGTGAGCAAAGGATCAGCATAATCTGCATAATCACCAGAATTAGAGAAACCCTGTCCCCCATGATAATGATCTTTGCTATGGTTTTGACCCTTTTGACCCCACTGTACGTTTTCAGATTCAAGACGATACTTTGTCCTGGAAAATGACTGCAGATTAACTAGAAAATGGAAGGGCTTCTTGAGTGGCTTTTTTTAGTTCCTTTCATCAGAAATCATCTTCCCCTGAGCTGCCATGCACTTCTCCAGAACTGAGTCTCTGAAACAACCCAGGAGTCCAGGCACTGCATCACGGGAGAAGTCTGGCTGGGCACTGAAGTCCCCAAAGTAGATCTGACAGTCTTTGTAGTTTAAGTGAAGCCATTATTCAAGTAGATGAGTCCAGAGTTTTCTTTCTAGTTCTTCCCGCTCTCCCCACATTTTCCCTCCAGTATCTCTCTCTCCCTTTACAGTTTCTCCTACATCTCTCCTGCCACCTTATTAGACTTCTTTCTCCTACATCTCTCCTGCCACCTCTAGTTCCTGCTTTCCTCCTTCAAGGCTTCATCTCTCCTCGATTTTTTTCTCATTTTGCTTTTCTTTAGACTGGCATCTCTCATAAATCCGACAAAGATAAGAAATGAAAGCTTAGATTCAGGAAGTGATAAGGGGAGGAGTTCTAACACATAAGAAAGCTTCCTCACCCTTTTAGTCATTCGTTCATTCATTCAACTGATATTTATTGAGTGTGTATTCTCTTTAGGTCCTGCCCTTATGGAATT